TTAGGACAATCTTCATTTTCTTCTTTCACATGTTTTTAAAAGTAAGTATATTTGAGTATTTATACAAATTAAATTGAGTAACTCTTCCCCAGGCATCTGCTTGTGCAATAGTGGTTCTAAACCTGGCTGGTCATGAGAATGGATTCCAGGACCCCCCTTAGTTTTACTCAGTGAGATACTCTGGGAATGTTTGCTTCTGAAAAACTCCCAGGTCATTCCGAAACCTTGTGTACACAGGCCTGTAGAGCTTACATTTTATCAAAAAGGAAACTGGTATATATTTTGAATGAAGGTCTAATAAGGTCTGTAATTGTGGGAGAATAAAGGGTCACCCTTCTTAAGAATGGGAGAGCCTATACAATGGATTCTCCATAAAGTTGGAAAAGAAGGCCACTTGTCAGGGTTTTGAGACCCATTGTTATTAAACGTCCTTGAGGGTAGCTTATTTAGCTTGAAGATTTTGTCTTTAAAGCAGTTTTACTGGGACATGATCAGAAAGCGGTTCTGGAGCTGGAGTTCTGGGCCAGAATTCTGGGCGGTGCACTTCCATTGCAAAACAAGGACAACCGCCAATCCTGGTGCTCAGTATCCATTGACAGTTAAGCCCCCTGTGGACTACGTAAAACAAAAGTTGAAAGACAAAGAGAGAGAGAGATCAAAGGTCTAAGATGGAGAATATGTCTTGAATGGGAGAGTTAAGATACCTTGCTGGGGAGTAGAATCAGACAAGACAGTTTAGCCACGTGAGCCAGGGAATTTAGTGACATTCTCCATGAGGTCACCAACTCACTTTGAGCCAAATTTTAGTTTTCACTATGACTATGGGTTTCTTACGCCTATATTCAGAACCATCCCCAAAACAAGCCAACACATTGGGATCCTTACTGGGAGATCCTCAATCAGCTGCGTTCTAGGAGAAGCATCTAATAACTGAAGGGTACACTCCAGAGGATAGGCTAGACATAAAGCAGCACAGCCTTTGGATCTAGTTTATTCTGTTGCTGTAGCTTGGTACTCATTGAAGATGCAGCTCTTAACATAGTGGGCTTGACTTTGATCTAGCAAGCCAAGCTCATCTGATCCAAAGTCAAGCATGTCTGGCGAGCCCTTGAAAGGTACATATGTACCCACCATCTGAGCGAAGCCATCTGCTCTGGGTAGAAAGTGAACCTGGCAAACAAGGATTCTCAAGGACTGTCATTTGGGATGAAGTATGCTCAGGCCATGGGTATATGCATGTTAGAGGTTCCAGCCCTTCACCAAAAAAGGTCCAGGGGAGACCTCAATTTCCACGAGGTATTTTCATTCTGGTTGTACCATCATGGGTCACATGGAGAGAGAACACATTTCTGCTTGTGTTTCACACAGCAACCCAACAGGAGTGTCCACAGGAGGAAAGGTGATAAAGCCAGCACTTTAGAGATTATGGCCCACACCATGGAAGTTGATTAAATCTTTCCTCAGAACATTTAACTTCCAGACTGGTGTTCTTTTACTTCTTTGGGGAGACAAAAGATTGAAGAAAGTGCTTGTTTTGCCCTCATACATACCTGAGGGGTGATCTCTGCACATTTTAACAGCCTTTTTCTTTTAAAATTCTGATACTGAATGGATCAGCCTGAATACTCAATATGAACTCTCTTAACAAATGATGATAGGCACCTGGCAGGGGCCCAGCGTCCACAGTTCCCATTTGGGATAACATCTAGATTGACGATGCGGGACGGGATAGTCTGTCACCAAGAAGAGCCCTCTTCGATGCCAGAAAGGAAAGGGAACCAGCCAGCATGTTGGGCGTCAGCATCAGGCTTGTCTGCCTGCGGACCTCTTACACAGCCGCCCCCCCCCCCCGCCCCCGTGGCTCTCCGTCACACAGTGCTCCCTGTCCCTCACGCCTCTTGTAACCCACACGCTGATCAAAACCAGATCATTCCTGTCGCTCGCTTCTCAGTACATCTAACCCCGCTTCCACAATTAATCCCCAAGCATCGAGTGTTCTGATTTCTATTCCTGTGTATTAGGTCTGAGGCCATAGAGTTTAAGACTACAGAGTTTCTTAAAGCCTGGATGGTGAGAGATGTCAGCAAATACCTTTTATTCAAGTAAATCAGTGCTTCTCAATGGGGGGGTGGGGCACACCCCACTTTGGTGGTGTCTAGAGACATTTCTGACTCATGACCGAGAGAGGTCCTGCTGGCATCTACTGGGCACAGGCCGGAGATGCTGCTAAGCCTCGTACAGTACAGTGCACGGATGGCCTCAACAACAAAGAATGATCCAGCTTCAAATGTCATCCGCGATTGAGAAACTCCCGAAGTAAATCATGTGCTCTTTGCCCTGGGGAGTGTTCATCTGTGGATCTCCTAAATCTCCTGGGATGACGTTTGTTTTTCTCTTTGTTTGTTTATTTGTTGAGAACCCGCAGGGAGCTGAAAGGGTGACTTCAGGAGGGGCTTTGTTGGGTGCGGCGGACCTGCCGCCACAGCTCTTGCCATGGAGTGGGAGTGCGGGTGAGCTTGGAGGGTAGGCTATGGGGGGAAGTGGAAGAAGAAAACGACTTGGGCAACAAAGCGGCAGGTTTAGCATAATATTCAAATGAGAAAAAATGGAAAAGAGGGGAAAATAAAGTAGAAACGAATAATCAGGAATCCAGTAAACATTAAATTTTAAAAGTAAACAAGCTGAGATTGAAAACAAAAGATAAATGGGAGAGTAATCATTAAGAACATAAAAAGGAGAAATCTGAATTAAAATGGTAGAAGGCTATGGGACGAAAAATGAAATATGTGGAAAATAGGATTAATGATTGAAAGCAGAGACTTAAGAAGGTCAATGTGAGGCATTATGTCAAATGAGGATGACGATAGGGGACACCAGGAGCTAAAATGCTTGGAGGCTCCGGTGCTGGATGGGGAGTGAGAAAAGGGTGGGTCACCAGCTATTGCCCAGGAGGAGAGGATTGGGGAACAAAGTCCAGGGTGGGGCCATCTGGCTGAGTAGAAAGCGCCCAGTTGGAGCAGTGTTGTTGGTGGGCAGGCCCAGAGGGCACAGAGCATGAGTTCACAGCTCCAGATACCAGCAGCCTAATAGGCCCTCTCCTGGGGCACGGGGAGGGACCACGCTCACTGCGTCAGCAGTAGCTGGCTGACCTTTACCCTGGAAGCAAAAGAAATTTGTAGCAGTACTTTTTTGAAATGAAGACCTTTCAAGATGAACATGTAATGCTTTCAGTGTGTGTGAATTATTTTTAACGCAGTTAAGGAAGTAACTACTTTTAAAAAATAACTTCTAGCTCTTTATTTGCTTCTGAAATATGGGAATTTCCTTTTTTGTGTGTGTGACTCCAGGCATACTGCACATTTCAATGGACACTTTTGTTATGTTTATCTATGTTTTGTGAGTATTACAGAATAGCCCAGTCTTTCACATTGCAGGCACTGCAAACCTCAGCAATATTCCTGTGATGCTAAATCATGCCTAAGTACTTAGAGTAAGTAAATCATTTATATTTTACCTCTCTTCTGTCCAATGTAGGCAAGCAATAAACAGGTATTGGGCATTTCTTATGTGCTAGGCAGGCATGGACACTAGGGATACAAAGTAAGGCATGGCCCTACCCTGCAAGGGCTTCCAGTCTGGTAGGGGGAACTTGATAGACAAAAGTAAATGGACACATAAGGAAAGAAAAGCTATGAATCTTTCTGCTCTTAGGCAGTTGTACAGAAAAAACAAAGCAAGTCTAAAACTTTCTAGGCAGAGGAATGAGCATGTGCGAACCCATGGAGCTGGGAAGCAGCATGGGAGCAGTCGAGGGAGTTCAGGCTTTGCGGGAGAGGGCGGAATGACAGAGGTGAGGTCAGGGAAGGTGCTTGGGGTGAGATTTTAATGGGCCTTGTTAGACACCATAAAAGTCTTGGGAAATGGGTTCCAAGGGATCTCAAATAAGGACAGAAGATAATCAGGTTTGTGGTTTCCAAAGATCATTCTTTTACAGTGTGGTGGTTTGAGTCATCAGAGGCCAGGTGAGCACTTAGACTGCTGCTAAAATAATCCAGGGAAGAAACGAGGGCCCAAGGGATAACTGTACAGGAGGGGATCTCAAGAGAGAGTGATTTGAGACCATTTAATAGGCAGAATTAAGAGGACTTGATGACCAATAGAATGGGGGTGGTGGTGAAGGATGACCTTGTAGTTCCTGATTAGGTCATCTAGGTGGGCGAGAAAGTAGAGGAAAAGGGGCAGGGCTGGGGAGAAGGTGCTAGATGGTCAAGAGCTGTGCAGATGTAGGGGATTACTGAGAAGAAGCTTTCCGACTTGATTCCACAGCACACATCCACCCATCAGGCCTAGTGTGGACTTGGTGGCACAGACACGATCCTCATGAGTTGGTTTTGGACATGCTTGTTCTGGGGAGCTTGTGCCCATCCAAGTGGACATGGCCAGCAGCCATAGGGTGAGTAAGTTGGTAGCTCAGGAGAGAGCTCTGGGCCGGAGCTTTGTATCTGCAAGTCACTGGGCATGAGTGACTCCCAGTCAGGGAGAGCGAGGCGCAGAAAGAGATTGAGTGTGGGAACTGAGCTCAGGGGAGACGAGCTCTGGATGGGAATGGAAAGGGGGAGTTTCTGAAAGTTTGGCTGGTAGGATTACAGAAATAATCTGCACTCTGTTCAATGAATTACTAAGTGAGGTCATTAAAAACTTCCCTTGTTGTTGCGGGGGGGGGGGGGTGTAATATGTATCTTTTATTTTACATGAAAGGCTAAATAGAGAAACTTAGAAACTACTGTCTTTGGGAAATTAAGATAAGGGTGACCTGAAATTTTAAGTCCATAAGAACATGTTTTGTAGGTTCCGACTTCCATGAAACTTGAGGGATACACTTCTCAAAAAGTACAGTCAACCTTTCAGGGAAGGAGTGGCTGAGGTTACGGAGATGCTCATGTTGTGCACATTCATTTTGTAGCATTGAGAGAAGGCCTAAGACGGCTTCTGTGTTTCAGGTAATTCAGAGGTCCGTGGGGCCAGCCAGCCTGAGTCTGCTCACCTTCAAAGTCTATGCATCGCAGAAAAAGGACTCGCCTCACAAAACTTCCGTGAGGGTTAATGAGGTAACATGCTGTTCGTGTTGTGAAAGATTTTGAACATGTGATTTACTTACTATAGGAAGGATACAAATTGTGTATCAGGAAGATATGACATTTTAGAGGATATTTAATAGGAGGAAATATTTCCTTATAGTTTATTTTTCTTTGTGAGAAGCTGCTAGACTGGCTGTTTCAACAGATACACTTTAATTAATGGCACATACTATTTCTTAAATTTTTAGTGAGGAATCCACTATGCCCCAGTAGAATGTAAGCACAGTTTGCTTCTAAGTGATCTACCTGATTCTAGACTGCTTATCAAGCCAAGAAAACATTTATATTTGTCCTAAGAAATTAAAAGACCTGGCCTCATTCTGCTCATAAGTAGATGGTTAGTGAATACTAAAGAAACAAAACAAGAAATCTTCTCTCCATTGTTTATAGTCGTTTTGTCTATACTAGCCTTGGATTATTTTGGATATCTGGCTGTTGTTGACTGAGTAAAGGGACATAAAGGTCTACCTTCAGCCAGGAGCAAGGTTACTTGAATGGTGTTTACATAAAACTAATTAGCTTATCTTTTGCCCTTTACTCTCTTTTTCTGAGGCCTTGGGACAGTGGCATTTTTGAAGTGAAGAAGGCAGCCACTAGTGGCTGTGAAAGGCTTCTTCTCTGGATGGGGAACAAACCTGCTAACCTGGTTTGATTAGCACCAGACTGATCATTTGAAATAAGTAACATGCTCTTCACTTATTCTCAAGCTTTTAAAAAACTTTTTAAAATTTATTTTTAGAGGGAGGGGAAAGGAGGGAGAAAGGGAGGGAAACATCAATGTGTGGTTGCCTCTCACACACCCCAACTGGGGACCTGGCCCGCAACCCAGGCATGTGCCCTGACTGGGAATCGAACTGGTGACCTTTCAGTTTGCAGGCTGGCACTCAACCCACTGAGCCACACCAGCCAGGGCTCAAGCCTTTTTTAAAACCCCAATCCAGCCCACCCTTTAGAGTAATATTATCCTTTTCCCAAACTAAATCTAAGGTGAAATATCAAATTTCAGTATATAAGACAAATAAAGGGGAGCTGCTTTGTCTGCCACCAGTAGGTGGCGGGGGGTGGTAGAACACCTCAGCCTTGCCCTCTTGGCCTTGGCCTTATTAAGGTAATAAGTAAGGTAGCCTTGCAGGTGTGGCTCAGTGCGTTGGGCGTCATCCCACAAGGCAAAAGGTCACTGGTTCCATTTCTGGTCAGGGCACATGGGCAAGGGGTGGACTACGTCCCTGGTTGGGGGTTTGTGAGAGGCAACTGGTCGATGTTTTTCTCCCTCTCTTTCTCCCTCCCTTCCCTTCTGTCTAAAAATAAATAAATAAATCTTTTAAAAAAAGAAGTTGGAAATCTTCTTTCAAAGAAGTAAGGCACAGAGATACTCTGAAGCAAGGTTTAGGATGCATGTAGCCCTTAGGGTGCCTGCAGTTCATGAATTATTAGAAATACAGTGCTTACAAATTCGATGCTTGATTATGTATTTCATTGCTGTATGGACATTTTTATTTCTTTTTGTTTGGTTTTTTAATGTACGCAGCTTTCACTCTACTCCGTTCCTGAGGGTCAATCTAAATATGTGGAGGAGCCAAGGACTCAACTGGAAGAAAGCATCTCACACCTCCGACAGTACTGTGAGCCATATACAAGTCGGTGTCAGGTACAGCTCTTCTGAAAATGGAGTGAACGCATTCCCATTTAGAATCAGTAGTGAAAAGTCTGCATCAGCTGCATGTTTTCAGAAAAAGGCAGGATAAAGGGCCCCGACCTAAGAGTGCCCGACTTACAAATGTTCATCGGTGCCATCTCTGGCGGTGTGGTGAGCAGAGAGCCCTGGCTTCCAGGTGGTTCCTGCTGCCATAGCTGCACAGAGAATTTCCCTCCCACTGGGCAGGTCTAGCACCATGACCAGGGAAAGGAGGGCTGGTAAGTATCTTGTTGGTCACAGCTATGAAAACACTATTGTCTAGAGGAAGGAAAGGATACAATGTAACCATTTATGTCAAAATTAGGAAGCTGCCTCCCCTTCCCCCCCCCCCAGATTCTACAAATTAGTACCACTTTAAACAGTAATTGTTATAGAGCATTTTTGAATGCTGTAATAGGAGGGTAAATAACTTAAAAAAGGGGTGGAATTACATATCTGAGTATTGGCCTATTTGCCCCAATAATCCAAGAACTACTTACACAGATTGGCTTCTGTCACTGCTCAGGTTTTAGATCAGGCATTTGTCATTGTGTTCACGAAGGCATTCCTGTGATTTTTATCATCTAAAACTGAAGTTTACAATCTACAGAATGCTTCTGTGGCCCTTGATACATATATTTGCTGTAATTGATCTTGGTTTTGAAAATTGATGCAAATTAGTAAAAAGCGTGGGGGGGGGTGTGGGGTGGGAGTGTGTGTGTGTGTGTGTGTGTGTGTGTGTGTGTGTGTGTGAGTGACACAGATAGACAGACAGACAGACAGACATGGGGTAGATTTACTTTGCTTGAGACTTACAAACTGAATTTTCATCCAGAACTTCTTTAAAGATTTTTACTTGCCATTGTCTTATCTCAGTGCTGGACCAATTTAGAAAGAAAATAGTAAGCATAAATGCTATCAACCATATAAATTAGGCCATTATACGTAAATATTATAACCATACTATTGAGTTATGAAATACCTAAAGACTATACTGTATTGTAAAACACTTAGACTTTATCCTCTTGGTCTAGAAGATTTTTTTAAAAAGATTTTATTTATTTATTTTTAGAGAGAGAGGAAGGGAGGTAGAAAGAGAGGGAGAGAAACATTGATATGTGATACATCAATCAGTTGCCTCTCGCACGGCCCCACCTGGGATCCTGGCCTGCAACCCAGGCATGTGCCCTGACTGGGTATCAGACCAGAGACTTTTCAGTTCACAGGCCAGCACTCAATCCACTGAGCCACACCAGCCAGGGATATTCTAGAAGATTTTTAAACTATATGCTTAGTGGTTAAGATCAGGTCGGCAAATATACGCAAATATTTTTGTATCATGTAGGCATGACTACTGTTATTTCTCTCTCTGTCTTTGGTTATAAAAGTACTTTGTCTTTTTAGCTTTCAACCTAAGATTGGTTTTTGTTTTTTACTTTTTCATCTGTGCATGATACTCAGTGCAGCAAAATACCTCTTCAGATGATAGAATAGTTATCAACACATTTATTTGCTGCACTTCTAAATAACTTTTTTTGTGATTATAATGGTTTTATTTTCCTTTAGAATGAAGTCTTCATGAATAGAAATATTTTTAATTCTTGGCTCCCTTTTCAGGCCAACAATTTCTCTCCCCTTTCTTCAAGAACTAATTTAATTTTTCTTCATAGTGAAAAGATTATGCCAGCAAAAAGAAGTGGGCAGCCACTCTCGATGTTGATCTGTAGCTTTTCTTTTCTTTTTTTTTATGGGCAGCAAAAATCAATAATGAATTTTAATGAAATGATAATTCAGTTAGTTTATGTTTTTTATGTCCTCCTCCAAACGTAGCATTTATTATTTAGGTCCGTTTAATAGTATTAGGATAACTTGTTCTGACTTGAACTAAATTATATTAAAAAATCCTTTTCCAAGTGGCAACTGGTTCTGGTGCCTTCTGATACCCACACATCCCTTTTCCCATCTTCACTGTGGATTTCTTGAAGGTGGGTACCTTCTAGCTAGTTCCTTGTTTTCTTTAGGATCATCTGACATTCATGTACAAAGCCTTTTTATTGTTGTTGTTAAGAGAATGTAAACACTTCATTTGCTTCAGGATTAGGATAAGTGTCTCCCCAAACTTAGCTATAGACTCCTTGGTCCCGTTACAGCTAGTCATTCCTGCCTCCAGTGGGCAGTGTTTTAGATACAGGCTCCAAAATCCTGGCAAATCAGGAGTTAGGCTTAACATGAAAGGCAGATTTACTCTCACAGGGAAATGATGCTTTAATTATTGAGGGACTGATTTTTGTCAGTTCTCTCGTATGTTAATAGCGAATGAAAAGGCTGGGTTGTTGAAACCACTCCACTTGAAATCTTTGCTTCCTGTAGCAGTCATAAGCCATTCATTCTGCTGAGCAATTTGTGGTGAAGGGGAAATTACAAAAGATAATAACACAGAAAACCCAGATAGACAGTAAATCTTTGTTGAAAAAGTATTGATAACATGATAATTTATTAAATAAAGACAAGTATATTTATTGTTACTTTCTAATTGGCAAATTGTACTCATTCATTTTCTTTTCACCTCTTTAGGAAATGTACTCCCAAACTGAGCCCAAGATGCAAAGTTTGGTTCAGTGGGGGTTAGGTAAGTTGATTTTTAATGATGTAAAATCAATTTCTTCATTAGCATTGGACTCTTTAACCGAGTTCCATGGATGGGTTCCAAGGAGAGCTGTGAATTCCCTAAAATTGTATGCAGAATTTTAGAGCTACATAGATTTTTTTCTGGAAAGATGATCTGTTGTTTTCACCACATTTCGGAGGGTTAGTATCCCCAAACACTCGGATAAGTCTCTTCAAGATCATTAGGATTGTTGGGCTAGCAAGTACAGATATACTGGATTTTTTTCTTTAACTCTATGGCAGGTGCAATGTCCCTAACTCACACTAATCCACACTAACTTATCAATAGGTTTTCAGATTCAGGAGAGCTCTTTTGTACAGCTATACATACATTTTATAGAAGTTTAAAGGCAGGAAGGAGCTGGGTTGGTGTGCCTGGGAAAGGCTTTATTGCACAGTTAGTAACGTTTTTACATTTTTCATTGGTTTTTATTTTTATTTTTTCAAATTATAAGAGAAAGTTTATTTAGAAAGTCACACATAGCAGAGGTGAGGCAGCTGGGCTCTGGGGGCTCAGGAAGTGAGTTACAGAGGCAAAAGAAGGGCCCTTGGAGCTTAGGAAAAAGAAAGGCAGAGAGAAAACACCTGGGGAAGGAGAGGCAGAAAGGTGTGTGTGTGTGGAGGGAGGGAGGAAGCGAGGGAGAGAGAGACAGAGAGACAGCAGACAGACAGACAGACTCACACCGTGAGACTGCCCTGGGGAATGAATGGGGTGGGGAAAGGCTCTGGCTTACTCAAGAAAGCTGCCTTCATTGGTTTTTATTGTTCTTGATTGTTTTTCACAATCACTTATCACATACACTCATTCACAATGTATGTTTTGGCTAATCTCAGCCAGGAAATGGTAACGTATTTCATTTCCCTTATTGGGCATCTTGACAAATTAAACTCTTATTTTTTTTCCCCAAATGTTTGCTTCTGTGGCGGAAGAAAATAAAATGAGTATAGTTTATTTCTTTGCAAAGATTATCATGGAGTGCTGATGTAGTGATAGCCTGGAAACGACCAGAAAAAGAAATTTTTCATTTGAAGACAGACATGTTAATATCCTACTGGTTCTTTAAATTATTCATATATGTTAATAAGTAACATCTTAATTTTATTAATTTTGTAAGTACTTATACAGTTCTTATTATATTCCAGGAACTAGTCTAAGTACTTTAAAAATACTAAGTTACATATAATCCTCATAACAACCCTGACAATTAGGTACTTTATGACCTTCCTTTTTGACCCGAGGAGACTGGAGAATACCTAATCTCTTATCTGTACATGTGTCACTGAGGAAGTCTCTTCACTGTCGCCTGTTTTTTTCCATTGATTCATAGCAGTAGGCATTATGTGCAATATGTCGTCTTCTCTTGGACTCATAAGAAGAGTTGTGCCGTTCTGAGTTGTGTTGTGGTCTGCCAAGGCAATCAGTCCATTTCCTAGCAGTCACCGCCAAGTCACGTTAGCAGTAGATGGGCTCCGGCTTCAGTGCAGCCTTAGAGTGAAACCTTCTTTCCCATTTCTTTGCGATGTACACGCCAACGGCTCAGCTCACCAAGGCTATTCGGTTGTCCTTCTATCAACTGCTCCGAGTGCCTGCCTAGAACTGAGAACACCGTGCTGGTAGGCGGAAATAAAGGGAAGTAGAAAGTTGTCTCAAATGACCCAGGCAGGAAAATAGAAAATTAAGGTTAAAGGCAAAGTAAGTAAAAGGCCAGACAGGAATTAGTACCAACAACACAAGCCCTATAATAGCATTTAAAATGATCACCACAGTTCCCAAAGAACCCAGGAGAAGGAAAACTGGCATGTGTCTGGTTGTCTGGGGGAAAGAATTACTGAGTATTCCAGTTAGTTCAGTCCTACACAAGTCATCATGAATGGCAAGCATTGAAGATCAGTGCTGATGAAGGCAGTGGTTCCCCCGCTGCTGCGTATGATACATTGTTCAGTCTTAGTGTAAACGCAGAGACAATCACAGACCACTATCAAAGGTACAGAGGAAGGAGACCAGTTTAATAGAGACTGGGGAGATGGGAACAATCAGGGAGGGATTTCTGAGATAAATCTTGAAGAAACAAAGGTAGCCACACAGAGGGCACAGCCCCACCAGGGCTTGGATGTGACTCAGTGTTGCGTGTGCCGGGAACTGGGCGCAGATTGCTGAAGATGAGGTTGGGAAAGAGATGTGAGGCTTTTTAAGTCATGACCTGGCTAAAAGCCATTTGTTAATTCATTCAGTATTCATCAACTCCTAGCAGTATTTTTAGTAAATTACCTGTTGAATGAACATCCACTGTTACCACTGAGGAAAGTAACATAGAAGTCTGAGCAAGGTACCATTACGGAGTGTATGTTCTCCTTGTGGAGACATAAAGTACACCCTTGGTGCTGTAGAAGTAGGTACCAAATTATGGTACAGAGAATAAATATGATGGGACTTTAGAGGAGGAAGAGAGGTGGGGGCTGATGAGCGTAGGAAAAGCTTTTCTGAGGAATTAGGACTTAGGCTGGCTGTCATTTGGTGGGATTGGCTCAGTGGAGAGGAGAGGAGAGGAGATGTGGGATCATGCGAATGAGGTATAAGGCATGTTCAGTCAAAGCAGAGAGGCTCACGTGTTGCTTTTATTTTTATTTATTGTATCACTACCAACAGTGACTTATTTCCCACATATACTTGCAATACAGGTTTCCTTCATTATCCAAATTTATTCTGTCCTTGTGTTCAAATAATGAGTTCAGATGACAAAAGATAATTTTTTCCTTGAGTTTAATGTACTTGGTTGCTGAGTTTCAGAGAGCAGGCAGCAAAGCTTCAGAGAGTGAGAGATTTATCCAAATGCTCGGGCATACCTCATTTTTTTGTGCTTCACGTTGTTGATTTTTTTTTAACAAGTTGGAGGTTTGTGGCACCCCTATGTTGAACAGCTCTATCAGCACTATATTTTCCAACAGACTCAGTTGATGGGTAGCATTTTTTTTAGCAATAAGGTATGTTTTGATTAAGGTGTGTCCATTGCTGTTTCAGACATAATGCGCACTTAATAGACTGCACTACAGTATAAACATAACTTTTATATACACTGGGAAACCAAAAAATTCATGTTACTTGCCTTATTGTGGTAGTCTGAAACCAAACCCTCAATATCTCCAAGGTAGGCCTGTGTTCTGTGTTCCTGTGTTTGGATAACAAGAGTTTGGATAGCAAGGGATCCCTTTATTTGTGTTTCTTCCTGTGTGAATAGTTGATTCACGTCTGTAGCCTTTAGGCATATGAAGGTAATCTAATATTACTGTACTGTCAGTCGATGTCAGGCCAAAAGTGTTTGAAAATTAGATTCTTGCTATGTGAATACTAAATCATGTTTATCACATAAAAAGAATGTGATGAAAAGAAGCATGTTAGCTGAAAGCCAAGAATAAAGAATACATTATTTGAAAAGCAGTTGATACTACATGTACTAGTTATATTCTAAGATTTGTTTCTTTAATGAGCTATTTATGGAACTCTTTTTTGTCTGATTCTATTGTAGACAGCTATGAATATCTCCAAAATGCTCCTCCTGGATTTTTTCCAAGACTTGGTGTTATTGGGTTTGCTGGCATTGTTGGACTCCTTTTGGCTAGAGGTAGGTACAATTTGGGGGGGGGGCGGTTTAAAAAACAGTTCATAAAGGAAAGAGAAGATCTATATTTGGTTCTTTTTTTTCATTCACTGGTTTTTAGAACAATGAGTTGGATCCATTGGTGTGGTTTTTTTCTTCAATATAATTGATATTAAGCATATATAGAAATTGTTGAAAAAGTAAAATGAAAGAAATTGTATACGCAGTTAAAAAGGGAAATTAGTTATCCTTTATATGCACATTTCCTTGATCAAATCACTGTTGCTCTTTGGTACAGAAAGAGTGAACTTTCATTAACCAAAGTCTGTCATACCTGAGACACTGGTTGCAAATGTTTCACTGTTAAGATCAGGCTATAAATCACAGTAAACAGAACAGTGATTTTATAGGGATTGTATTGATCTTTTGATGTGTCGTAGCGTCAGTCATTGAGGATATAAAAAATTTTAAACAAAAGCTAACAAATGCCAACCCAAAAATATTACTACACTACACTGCTGGATTATAAAACATTTATAGGAAACAAAGAATGATAAAAATCCCTCACTATAATGAGTGAATTTGTTAGGAACTCCTTGAAGTTTCACTGATTGTGAAATTCAGACTGTATAAAAATTCCCAAAATAGAAAGTTTATGAACCCTGTAATGAGACCCCCATAAAAGAGAACTACAGAGACTAGTTTGGCACCCCGTCTTCCAGTTTTAAAAACCTTTGCTATACGTGCCTTTACTGTGACGTTAGAATCGGTAGAAACGCTCTGCTGGTGCCACTGCCCCAGCCTGTGCAGCGAACTCTTGTTGGAGTTTCTGTGCCCTCCTCCCATCTATATAAGAATTAAATTGAGAGTTTACTTTTACTAATCAACTTGGGAAATAGTTGAACAAACTCCCTTCTTTTCTGTAAAGCTGTCCAGAAAAGCGTTCCTATCTTATTTAGATAGTGCTTGGAATGTATGAGGATCCCAAGGCCAGGGTCTTGGAATCTTGGCTACTAATTAACGTATCTTCTCCCATCACCACCTTTTTCTGTGTGTGTGTGATGAGAGCACATGCAATGTCTTCTCTTAGTACATTTCCAGGATTTGACATTATTAACCATAGGCACCCCGCTACGTTTTAGATCTCTAGACTTATTCATTGTACATAACATCTGCCCATTTTCCCACCACTCCATCCCTGGTAACCACCCTCATACTCTCATGTATTTGATTTTCTTTGTATTTGATTTTTAAAGATTCTGCATATCAGTGAGATCATGCAGTTATTTTTTTCTTTCTGTGTCTGGATTATTTCACGTAGCACAATGCCCTCCAGGTTCATCCATGTTGTTGCAAATGGAAGGGTCTCCTTTTCTTAAGGCTGAATAACATTCTACTGTTTATAGACACCACAATTTCTTTATACACTCATCTACTGTCAGACACTTAGTTTGTTTCCATATCTTGGCTAGTGTGAATAATACTGCAAAGAACTTGGGAATACAAGTAACTCTTTGAGGTTGATTTCATTTCCTTGGGGTACACACCCAGAAGAAAGTATGTTGGACCATATGCTAGGGTTTCTGGAGCACACCTGCTAAGGTAGTCTGCCTCAGCTGCTGAGGATGGGTGACGAGAGGCACCTCTCTGGGAAGAGAGGTGAGTGGATGATCAGTCAGAGGAAATGGGCCCAGCCAGGCTGCTCAGGGGTGGCCGCTGGTTGTCACTTACTGTTGTTGCCTTTTGGTGGCTCTGGCAGCCAGGGGTTCCCCTGTGGCAATGCTGATCGATCGCTACAGCTGAGACAACCGGCTGCTCGGGAGGAATGGACAAGGACGTGGCAGGCGCGGGAGTTGCGTTCCTTCCTGAAATCCTGGGGTCCTCAGCTCAGTGTAGGAACCAGCAGGAGCTGAAGGCCCAAGAGCTGCTGCTTCTCAGCTTTCCCTAGAGCAGTGAAAAAGGGTAGGTTGGCAGGTTTGCTACCTTCACTTGGCCCTCACCTGCGTGAGCTCCCCAGGTGCTTAAAGCCTCAAGTGTGCAGGTGGGATCCCAGGGCTCTAACAGGCTTTTTTCCTTTGGGGTAATGATAGCCTTCAATCAAGGCAACAGGACAGGGAGAGAAATATTAATATATTTAAGAGTCTAGATTGATATTATTTGTATTCTCTTCTGCAGTCCTCATGTCATCTTTGAGGATTTGTCTGTTTAAAGGTGAAAACCAATAAACAGCACTTACACATTATTCTGTGTAAGTGTTAATAACATACATTGCACTAGCATCTGTATGCATCCCATGTACAAACCTGTGCCTCTCAGCGGAGACTATTTCTCATGTCAAGCCCATTTCGAGTGTATTTTCCTGTTTTACCCTCTACCTGTTTTCTTACCCTCATTCTCAGGTTTCTCCCAGCTCTCCACCCTGCTCAATTCCCCTTTTCCCAGGGCAGCACATCCTCTCGCAGTCTGGGCTGGGACTCAACACAGCTGTTGTCTTGGGACATGGCTCCACACTTCCTTGTGTTTGACCCCCTTGTCCAGTTCCATGTCACCATGTCCTTGTTTTGCTCTGCCATGCTGTTAAACTCCATGCTCAAGTCAGTCTCAAAAAAGCCTATGTTGGAGGTAAACTTTCCAAGTCTGTGCAGGTTTGAAAATTACTTTCTGTCTTCATACCGCGTGATAGTTTGGTTGGGCGTATGGTTTGTTTTCCATCAAAACTCTGAAGGCCATGTGCGCTAGCACCCGGAGCTGCAGATGGGAGAGGCAGCAGCCAGTCTGGAAGCTTGTTCCTTCTGAAGTGACTTACTTTTTTCCCCCTGGAAGCTTTGAGGATCTTCTCTTAATCTCCAGTGCTCTGAATTCCCATGGTGCTGTGACTACATACAGTTGTTTGTTTCCTGGTTGGGCATGTTGGTGGCTTGCAGCCTTCAGCTGTAGGAGGATGTCTATCCTGTATGTCTTTGAAAATTTACTCTCCTCTTTTTTCTTCCCGAACTCGTATTAGCAATCAAGCTGTTTAAACGGACCCTATATGTGCCTTATGTTTTCTTGATTATTTTATTTTATTTCTTTTGATTTTTTTGGTCATTTCTAAGACCTCTTTCTGGTTCTCTGAATGTTCCTTTTTTCTTGGAATACTTTATTTTCTTTTAATGTAACAGCTTCTTTGATTTATTCAGCGGTACTTAACTACAGGTTTAGTTTTGTTTTAGATTTCTGTTTCCCGTAGGGTCATTGTTTTCCTTCTTGCTTAGCTCAGTCTTCTCTTATATTGCAGGCTTTCCTCAAATACATAGTGATCCTTGGCTGTACACCATGTTTAAGAACAAAGCGGTTGAAATGCCAGTAAGAGCTTTCTGTCCATAGCTGGGGCTTGCTGGCGGACAGGTTCTACCTCAGGGTGAGCTGAATGAAAACTGACTTTAGTATGGGGGGTGCCTCCCCTCAGCACCCGAGTGAGGAAGGCTCTGCTCTCAGGCATGCAGTTACATGCCTGTGCACATACACCAGTTATCTTGGTTCTCAACAGAAAATCCATGGCATTTCTCTAGAGATACCCCATCCACTTTTTAAACTTTGGCCTGGAGAGATGCCTGGCCATAGGCAGCTTTGCACTGGGATGGTGTGGGGAAGAGGAGGTCGGCTGCTCTGTGCACAGGACTTGCATTTACACCCCTGTCTGGATCCCGGTTGCCCTCTCCATCCTCCACACCACCCTCCACCCTACCTGCCATCCCTGGGCTGCTGGGACATTCTGTTCCCTCCTCTGCTACAGCCCCTCCTCAGGACTCCAAGCCTGTGTGTCCTCTTGCTTCCGTCCATTCTCCATTTTCTTTACTTTTTTTTTATTAAAGATTTTATTATTTCGCCCTGGCTGGTGTGGCTCAGTGGATTCAGTGCCGGCCTGGGAACCAAAAGTCGCCAGTTTGATTCCTCGTCGGGGCACATGCCTGGGTTGTGGGCCAGGTCCCTGGTAGGGGGCACGTGAGAGGCAACCACACATTGATGTTACTCTCCCTCTCTTCCTTCCTTCCCCTCTCTCTCAAAGTAAATAAATAAAATCTTTAAAGAAAGAGAGGGAGAGAAACAGCAATGTGTGAGAGCTTTATCAATCGGTTGCTTCTCACATGCCCCCAATCAGGGACCTGGCCTGCACCCAGGCGCGTGCCCTGACTGGGAATTGGACAAGCGACCCTTCGGCTCACAGGCCGGCGCTCAGTCCACGGAGCCACGCCAGCCCGGGCCACTCTCTGTTTTCTGAAAATTGCCCCTCCAGTGGCCCCTCCACACATTTTCTCTTTGTTCTGGGTTTATTATCTGTATTTTATTATTATACTATTATTGTGGAGAATTAGGAGAAGAGAAGAATACTTTTGTTCATTATGTAAATAGGAAGCTAGTTTACTCTAAAAAGAACATAAACCTTAGAAATCAAAATAATGTGTGGTTTTTCTTTTCATAACAATCTTTCATCTGTTTCCTTAGAAGGTGGTTCTCTTAAACGTTGTGCTGATGAAAGAAGCCAGTCACAAGCACCATATGTCATCTAATTCCATTTATATGACATGTCCAAGTTGGCAAATCCTTAGAGATGGAAAGTAGATCAGTGTTTTCGTAGGCCTGGGGATGATGGGGGACTGGGGGCGACTTCTAATGGATGTGCGGTTTCTTTTGGGGCTGGCGAAATTATTCCAAAATTGTTTGTGGTGATGGTTGCACACCTCTGTGAATACACTCAAAGCCATTGAATTGTACACTTTAAGCAGGTGAGTTGTTTGAATTGTATCTCACTGAAGCTATGAAAATGAGGCAGTTCTTTTGGATATGTTTGATATTCTCTGTCAATCTAGGACTGAAGAAGTCTTTTCTTTTTTCCCAGAAAGAGAGAGAGAGGAAGGAGAAGAGAGAGAAACATTGATTTGTTGTTTCACTTACTTATACATTCACTGGTTGATTCTTGTATGACCTGATCAGGGATTGAACCCACACCTTGGCATATTGGGATGACACTGTAACCAACTGAGCTACCTGGCCAGGGCCCCAAAGAAGTCTTATATAGTGTTAGATGTACAGGCAAATCGAGATGGCTAAGACAGAATCATCTGACAGTGTCTGCAACCTTTTATTTAATAGGCTCAAAAATAAAGAAGCTGGTGTATCCACCTGGTTTCATGGGATTAGCTGCCTCTCTTTATTATCCACAACAAGCCATCGTATTTTTCCAGGTAAGTTAGACCCAGTAAGTTAAGATTCCCCTTATTCTTGCTTATGTGTGTATGGGTTTACTGCTTTATTTTAATTTAATTTAATTTTATAGCTTTTATAGCACCAGACTAAAATTTGTTTGTACACATAAATGAATGCAGCAAATTTAAATGTTTTTCTCCACTACGTACCCCGGTTCTGGCCCTCCTTCCACTCCTGTCAGTAGTCAGAGAATGCACACTAATATGAATATTAATAAAAGAAAACTTAAGCTACCTTTTTTTCTGTTTTGGCATGTTGACATGGAAGTCTAGAGACTCAAATTCCAAAGTTGATAGTTATGGGTCATTCTCAGTTCAGGCATATCTGGTCACAACCTGCTTTCCTTGGAATTGCAGGCACAGGCCTGTGCTTGACCCTCCGTGCCTTGTCTCTGGCCCTTGAGCTGGCCTCGCCTTCCTGGCTGCGCCCTTTGGGGAGTGCAGTTCCCTCTGCTGGGAACACCCTGCTCGGGGCTCTCGGTTGGCTACTCCTTCCTTGGCCTTCAGGCCTTCTTAGCTTGATGGCGTCCTATAGCACGTAGAACACAGTGGCAGGCAACATGGCTAAAGCTGATTTCTTAGGCAGCTCAAGCTACCATAACACAACACCACAGACTGTGGGGCTTAAATAACAGACATTTATTTTCTCACAGTTCTGGAGGATGGAAGTCCAAGATTAAGGTGTCGGCAAGGTTGGTTTTCTCTTGAGGCCCCTCTCCTTGGCTTGCAGATGGCCGCCTTCTCGCTGTGTCTTCACATGCCTTTTCATTGTACGCACACATCCTTGGTGTCTTGTCCTCATCCTACAGTGACACCAATCATAATGGATTAGAGCCCCTCCCTTATAACCTCCTTTAATCTTAAAGGGCCCTGTCTCTAAATAGAGTCATACTGTGGGTTAAGGCTTCAACATGTGAATTTGACAGGGAACATAAGTTAGTCCGTAACAGCAGGACCAGCAGGTCTCAGTATGGCCCCTGGACCAGCAATATCAGAATCCCCTGGGAACCTGTTAGGAATGCAAATTCTCATGGAACCTGCAGGAACTAACCATGTGGACAAATGAAAAATGCCTTTTGTCTACAACTTGCAGTGATCCTACATTGACATGGAGGTCTCTGTCTGGCTTAGGACAGCAGACTAACTCTGATCACTCTCCTCCATACAGCCTTTAAAGCCAGCACCCCAGGTACTGCTTTCCTTGCCACTTTGTTTAGTATCTCTGCTGATTAAGGGTACTGGACTACTAAAAGACAACCAAGTGAGGTCACTTTTGCATCTATCTTCACTGGTTTCTGAGGTATCTTATAGTTTTTGAAAATAGGGATCCACTCTGCTGATTGCTGCTAACAGTTAGGAGATAGTTAAGGTGCTGGAGTTGATATGAAGGGTTTACTTAAGTTAAATTGCACTTGATCCTACTGAAGTACACCTGCAGCTGACAATGAAAGAAGACAGACACTGTCATGTCATGTGTGCTCCAAAAGTCATCATGGGTTTTGGGTTTGTTTGGAGGAATTTTTCTTTTCCTCTTTCCCTCCAAGATCTCTGAGACATGGGAATACCCAGTGAACACTCCCCCTCAGTGTAACCGTGCAGACTTTGCTACTGTTGGTAGTGTGGTTATCACATCTTCATGATAGGGAAACACATTCTTTTGGATAAAAATAAATAACAAAAATTTGTTTTTTGAAGTTAAAAAAGGAAGTGCAAATTCTCGGGCCCCAGCGCAGACCTACTGACTCAGACAGTCTGAGAGTCGGGGTTAGTGTCTGTTTTAGCAAGCGCTCCTGCGGGTTTTAATGCCTATGACATTTGAGAACCACTGATGTAGACTAGATTCTGTCAGGCCAGTGGTGTCTGGACTCAGTGGGACTCTAGATACAGAGTTCCTTGGAAAACTGGCAAGGACAAAGCAGGCTGTAGGTTTTGAGTTCCTGGATAGCATATGGGGGCAGGGACCAAGTTGCCAGAACTGCCATATTACACGGAGACCCGGTCCTAGGAGGAGCTTCAGTGCTGTCACCAGAATTGGGCTCTGAAGACTCTAAGCCAGACTGATGTGACACTGAGCTCCGTGGAGTCCTTGTGACAGGATTGAGTCTAGATTCCTGGATTGTGCTACAGTTGTAGGCGGGAGCCCATTGGCTCCAGCTGTGGGCAGTTGATGGCTTTGGTGACAATCGCCAGTCAGATCTCTTTAGCATGAGCTTGACATCGTTTATAGCAGTCCTGGAAGCAGATAGTTAATGTTCTTCAGCCTGTTTCAGCCCCAGGTCAGGAACAGTGGATCATTCTGCCTGCTCTGGGTCATAAAAATAATCTAACATTATGTCATTCTGTTATGGTTTAAACAGTAAGTGGATAGGGTGGGCCTGGCTGCTGGCTGAGAAGCGTAGGTAGCTGCCCGCTAAGTAGAAGTCTTTTTTTAAATCTTATATGCTGTACCATATGTTGAAAAAGATCTTTTGGGTTCACAACCAAGATAGTAGGATGGAAATCTGAGTTGTATTGTAATTTATTTTAAAGTCAGTGGGAAGGAGTTTCATCTTTTATTTCATATCTAGGGTAAGCCAGAACAAAATAATTAACTTTATTTTCACTGGATATAAAACATTAGTGATCTGTTTAGGATGATGAAAAAGTCCCAAAAATGGATAGTGGTAATGATCGCATAACATTGTGAATGTATTTAATGCCACTTGAATTGTACACCTAAAAATGGTTAAAATGGTACATTTTATGGTATGTGTATTTTGCCAAAATAAAACACACCAAACATCAGTGATTGAAAAAGATTTTCTGATACTGGTTTAGTGTTATCTGGTTCCTATTCCACAGTTTAAATTTTTGTGGGTTTTTTTTTAATGACTACTCTGACCTTGAACAAGCCTCTTAATAGCATGTATTCTTATTTTCTGTTCACTAGTGTTTGAATAAAAGTTCTGTAAGAAAACCAGTAAAATAACAATGAATGTTATTTTCCTCTCAGAACTTTATACCACCGAAAACAGTGCCATGTATGTGGTGGATGCTCAAAATGTCTCCCAGTGGGTCCAAGAATCATATCATACCATATTTTAGGAACAGTTGGAGCAACTGGAAGAATATAATTTGTAAGAAACCAGCATGTTACAATGACCACTGGATTTACTAGAACTGTGACCTTAGACAAGTCACTTGGCCTCTGAATATTTCCTTAGCACCTTTGCCTACTTACCGCACAGGGTTGTTATATAGAATAGAGATAATTCCTGTGAATGTGCTTTGTAAACTGAAATGCTATATATGGATAAATTATTATAAAATTAGGGAGAGAATAATAACTTTTTAGAAATTTGAAATACTGTCATGTGGAAGAATAATCAACATTCTTTGTTGTAACTAGGACCAATGAATGCAAATTACTGGAAGCATGTTTTAAAAGAAAGCTCAATACTTAAAAAAAAAAAAGTTTCCAGCCATTAATGCTAGCTAGCCAAAGGCGGACAAGTGCCTTTTAACGTAGTGAACCCCTGACCTCAAAATATTCTCTGACTCTGGGACCTACCTCTCAGGATGTTGTAGAAAGGAATTTGGAATCGGACACAAAATGCCTGTGGAAACTCGAACACTCTTATATTTTGGGGGACCTGGGAAAACTGAGAGCATCTTCATTGGGTTCACCAGTTTTTAACCTAAGCTCCTTAAATGAATGATTGATTTTCAGCTTGGCAAATGTGACTTGGCTGGCTGTCATGTGCTAGATGGGGTAGGTAGAGGTTTGGGAATTTCCCGTATCAGCAGTGATCTACATTTTTGTTCTTGAAACTGTGAAACTTTGGAATATATATATACCTGATTGATAGCAGATTATTTTTAATGATAACTGTACACAGTCAAGCTGTTTTTCTTCTTATTCTATCCTTCTTACTATTTTTTATTTGCTCATGTTGCACAGTTTCAATGTTTACATCCCAAGACTTCTATAGTCGTCATATGCTTAAATAGAGTTATATTGGAAAAAGAAAAATGAGAAATTCCCTTCCTCACTAGTCATGTATGGACTAGCAATGGATCTTTTATATTTTGTTTCAAGGTCAGTGGAGAGAAATTATATGACTGGGGTTTACGAGGATACATATTCGTCGAAGATTTGTGGAAGGAGAACTTTCAAAAGGTGAGAAATCTTTTTCATTATCTTCCTTTTCGTTTAAATATGTGGTTTCTCTAGGGTTTTGTAAAATTCTTGATAACCTAACAAGAATTTTGCCTTTTGCATTTATTCGTCACACTTCTCAGATTCTCGGGTGACCCTTAGTGGAGGAGCAATAGAACTTCCATGCGTTTGCTTATTATCAGCAGGGCTGAATAAATAGTAACTGTAAGATGCATTCCACAACGGTCTTAGGCCATGATTGCCGCTGTACTGTATTTATAATTTGCTCAAAGTATAACATATTATATGAAAGTTTTATCAAAATGGGAGGCAAAGGGAACAAAACTCTACTCCCAGGCAAAAGACAAATAACTAAGACTGCTCTTGCTATTTCACTTATCATAAGTGCGTCTTCTTTCCTTTAGCAATACTGTATCTCAGCTACAGGCCAGATTCTCTGTGCTGACTGATGGGCAAGGGGCAGAGGGAGGAGGCTGTGTGACTGTAAGGGGGTGTCCTCTTTTATCTCTTCTCCCAGCTGTGTAGTTGATTGGATGTTGCTTATGTTTGCTGGCATTTTCCCTCTCTCCCTGATAAGGAAGAATGAGTACAGAACAAGGCATTATGTCTCCAAGCACTCAGAGGCACAGCTCGCTAAGGAAGAATTAGAATCCTTATAGTAACACACCTTCTACCTTGTAAACTTAAGGAGGTTGATTTTGACTCCTGTCACCTCAAATCAAAATACTCTTAAAAGTATGAACAACTCTCTCAAAATTAAAATGCGGAATTTGGAACTAGAATTTGAAAGTAATATTATAGGATAAATTATAAGCCCCCCTCATTGTATATATAATCTTCCATTGAAATCTGGACTAATTTTTGTACTGATAGTATCTAAAGGCTAATTAGTCTCTATTGAGCCTATTTAAACTAGCTCTTGAGGAGGAAGTTCGCTATTAATACCAAGTGCCCTTCGGCATTCATTCCCTTTGAAAGAAAAACACTCATTGTTTTACTTTCATTTCTGATATTTTCTTTGGAAGTTTCCTTTCCTGTTTAAACAATTCCTTAAGTTCACACTGAGTTTTATGTGGGAAAGAAAACACTAGAGTGTCAGGGAAGGCATACACAGCCCTCGAAAGAGGTGTGGAAAGTGAAACTCAGCGTCAGCTCTGAGTGTTTACTGTGTTGTCAGGCAGACACATGCGCACCAAAGCCAAGCGGGGTCCCCCTGGAGCCTCTTGCTTGGAAATAGTGTCTCTGCTCTGCTCTGCGCAAGCAATGGGACTGTGGTTGGAATGCAAGTCAAACAGCATTTTATGATAATTTGAAAATGATAGATTTTAAAGCTGCTCACATTTATTTGCGTGCGTTTGGGGAGTAAAGTAGTAAAGATGTCTAACTAGCTCGTGGTCACTCTGCATTTCTTTCTCTCCTAAGCCCTTACCTCGCCAGAGTCATGAGGAACTCAGTGTTCTTTCATTTGTTTACTCTCAAAGCACACTTTTCTTCTCTGTTTTCAATAGAAGGTAATAAAATCAATGTTGACTACCTAAACATTTAGCACAAGTTTTAAATGAAAAATAGCAGAAGGCTCTATTAATTCAAGATTTTTTTTTTAATTCAAGATTTGATATCTTCAGGAATTATTTGGTAGTGAAATGACATTGTTTTTTTATTGGTTCTCCTGCCCTCCTTGTTTGGCTTTGTGAGTCTCAGTGATTGTTTGTTTTATTAATGAGAACAAAGATTTAAGCTACCCTGGAACAGGAATCTTTCAGGGCTCAGGAACTATCTCTTGGAAGGAAATTGGGGAACACTTTATAAAACCGATTCTTGTTTTTTTTCTTGGCTTGTCTGAAAATTAGTTTTCTGGTCAGGCTTCAGTTACCAGTCTCTGTTAGATGCCATTTAATTCATAATTGTTTGTACTGTAATGATTTAACAGATGGACATGATTTTGGCTTATAAATAGTCAAAGAAATTTGTACGCACTCTGTTTAAAGCAAGGCCCTGGAATTTTAAGTGGTATGAATGATGGCTCAATTCTCAATTTTATTATTTCCCATGGAGCTATATTACTCTCAAAGGCCCCAAGTAAGTCTGGGGCATTTTTCTGCTCTGCCATATCCCTCTTCCCTTTTAGGAATTCTAAGTGTTTGCACTGAGTCCTATACCAATAAAGTTTGGATGAGGTTGTCTTTTAGTTCAGTCATTGTCATTGGTCACTTAAGAGGAATTTATGTGCTTCAGCTAAAGTGAGCTGTCTGTCAGAACTGTGAGGCAGAGATGGGCGTATTCAGAAATTTTGTCATCATAGGGTAGTCTAGGGTTTGGTTTTGTTTGAGGTAAAAGAACATACAATGTGCACTTCACCCTTGAACAACACGGATTAGGAGCGCCAACCCCCCACACAGTCAAACCATGTGTAACTTTTGGCTTACCCAAAGCTTCGTTGTCCTTTGGTATCTGTGGGAGATTGGTTCCAGGACCCCCCAAAGATACTGAAATCTGTGGCTGTTTCAGTCTTCTATGGAACGGGGCATAGATCAATGCATAGAGTCAGCCCTCCACATCCACAGACTCCCATCCTCAGATCCGAAATAGTACAGGTATTTATTGAAGAAAAGTCACATATAAGTGCACCCATGCAGTTCAAACCTGCTGTTCAAGGATCAACTGTATATATAGAGTTTAAAATCAAACAGTATAATGACCACACATATACCAATCACCCATCCACCTTTAAAAATAGGAAATGACCATACCTTTTAAGTTCTCCATGGGCTCCTCCTTCTCCCCAGATTTTTATTTTTCATTCCCATGTTTTTCTTTAAACTTTTCTTAGTTTAACCACATACATGTATATTATAAAACACTATAGTTGAGCTTGCCTGTTTTTGTTTTTATAATGTAAGTATATACCAAAAACAAATATATAGAGTGTTATCTAGAGGGAGTCTTACCATATGTATTATTTTGTAACTTTTTTCCCCTTAACATTATGTTTATCGGCTATGTATAGTTGTAGTTTATTCATTTTCCCTGCTGTAGAATACTTGTATATCTTTGTGGGAAAATGCCCATGTTGTTGGCTAGCTGGGTGGTTTTCATTATATTGTTGTTGCACACCGACTTGGGAGCATTTTTGTACACGTGTTATGGTTTAGTAAGTTTTGCAAGGCTGGGATTCCTGATTCATAGGGTCTGCTGAGGGAATTATTATAAGGCAGACTCCCTTGTAAGCATCATCTAGGACCCCCCCCCCAAAAAAGGAACTTTGTTAGCCACCCCAGAAACCCGTGCATGTAGCCCACCTCAATCACAGTCTTCTTCCTCTGTCCAAAAATACCTACCATCCTGACTTTTATACTAATAATTTTCTTCTCTTTCTTTATGGCTTATTCCCCTAAGTGTTTATCCCTGTCACTTTAGTCTTGCCTGTTATTATTTCTGACTTCATATGCCTTTTAAGTCTTTTTTTTCTTTTTTCCTTTTAAGTCACTTTTAATCTACAGGTTCCCCTTCCGTCCTTTTATTTTCCTTACAATATATCTGTTAAAAGGACCTAGCATGTTGGACCTGCAAAGTTTCCAGCAGCTGGGGTTTTGCTAACTGCATGTACATGGTGCACTTGAACAGGTTCCTCTCTTTTATGCATTTTCTGCTGATTGGTGGCTGGATCCAGGGGCTGCTTAATCAGGGTTGTGTTTGATCCTGTTGAGAAGGCTGTAGGTATATGTAGACACATAAATCTGGGTTTTACTTTGCTCTTTTGGTGGTAGTGGCTATTGATGCTCAATGCCTAGACTCAGTGGTTCACTGGGCTTGGAAAATGATGTCTTTTTACTTCTGTCATTTCATTTTCACATATTATCTGGAGTACTTGAATAAGGAACTGCTTTCTCTCATCTATAGTTACCCAATTATGGGAAAGACAGGATGAATACTAGATCTTTGAACGTCTTAGACAATTTTATTTTTATTAAATATTTAATTTGTATTTTAGAGAGAGGGTAAGGGAGGGAGGGAGGGAGAGAGGGAGAGAAACATGAATGTGTGAGAGAAATATCCATTGGTTGCCTCTCACACCACCTGGCCCACAACCCAGGCATGTGCCCTGACTGGGAATCGAACCGGCAACCTTTCAGTTCTCAGGCCAGCACCCAACCCACTGAGCCACAGTAGCTAGGCCTCATTTTTGTTTTAATATACCTTTCCTTGATTACTTACGAGGTCAAACATCTTTCACATGTTAATTGATTTCTTCTTGAAGTGCCTGTTCATGTCTTTTGGCCATTTTTTATATGGGTCATTTGTCCCTCTCTTAATGGCTTATAAAAGTTATTTATATCTTTCCTAGATACTAATATTTTTTGGTCACATGTTTACAAATGTCTTCTTCCAATTTGAGGCTTGTCTTTTCAGTTTTGGTGTCTTTTGAAGATCAGAAGTTCTTAATGTAGTTGATTTGTTGATTTTTTTCCATTACGGTTTTCACTCCTTGACTATAGGTGCTTAATAAAAGCATGGGACTGTTTATTGATTGTCCATTGCTAACTTTTTCAGAATAGTCTCAGCCCAACGTCTGAGTATCAGAGATGCAGGCCAGCTGTGGGTGTCAGGCGCCGGGGTCACAGAGTGGAGTTGTCCTATAAATTGCCCAACACAGCAATATGTCTCAGTAAATATCATGTTTAGTTTTCACTAGGTTTTTATGACATGGAACAAGTTACTATCAAAGAATTGTTGAATGACAATTAGAGCCCAAAAATAACTAAAAAGGAAAATCTTAATTCTTGAAAGGGCAGGAAAATATATAAAGAAATCTATAAACCCATTACTATCATGAAAACTGAGCAGAACTTCTGAAGCTGAGCTTTTAATAGTTGTATTCCGGGCCTTGCTGCCTCAGCAGGAATATGAAGGGGAAGCAGCAGCCACCACTCCGAGAGAATATGTCCTGCTTTCTCTTCCGCCATTTAAAGTTCCTTAACTGTCTAATAAACACACTCCAC